AGAACTGCTATAAGGGCAATGCATAAGTGAAAACCTGATGTCTAGCTTGATGAAAAAAAGTGGGATAACTTCCACCTTCTTCGATAATATTAATTTTTAACGAAAACGTTATTCTAATTTTCTACGTCCAATCACCCCTTCTCAGCACTCTTCTTGCCTGTCTGGAGTTAGAACTCTTCATTAGCGAAAAATTTCAGCAAATACTGCTTTCTTGGTAGCGACCAAGAGAATAAGGAAAGCTCCAGGAATGTACAACATCACTGTTTCTATTGTTTATGCTAGGTGACATCCAATGCATAAACTTCTTGCAGTCCACACAGCTACCCATATCCAAAAGAATAAGATCCTAGACTAGTGAAGGATATCAAGCAGAGTCACCACGCGTGAGAAGAGTGACCTAAAAGATATTTGAAACTGCCACGCGATTTGTTTGTTCGATGAGCTTCTTCTTCAAAGCCAATCATATGTATATATTAAGCAGTTCAGATATGCTCAATATGCAGTGCAAATGCGGTTGCAACATGTCGAGGACTAACAGTAATATAATGCTAATGCTAAATAGTTTATGAAACTAGAAAAGAGGATTAAATTGAGAGAAGATACGGAAAAATCCAGTAGGCAAAAACCTACGAACGCACCGAAATGGTACTACAAATTGATATGCATTCTTTCTTGATAAGCTTGCACGAGGTTGATAAATATATTTATTTCCGGCTAACGTTTCGACGTCTTCGTCTTCCTCAGAGCCGATGATCCGAGTCGATGGTCCATGATTGTTGTTCGTCTCGACGTTGCAGCTTCGCCTTCGTGTCGAGCCAGGTCTTCCTCAGTGATCCATCTTCTCGAATGAGGCATCCTCACTCAGTGATGCCCTTTTATACACGATGCTGATGGTGGATATATAATGATAATGTCCGGTGTTAACAACCTGTGTTTCTTCCGGACATACATCATTACGGACATCGTGCAGAAGTCGGTGTTTTATCAGCTAGCACAAAGCGTAGTAATATTTCGAAACCGACTTTCCCTGAACCTCGGTGTGACTAATCAATATGCATTCTTTCTTGATACGCTTTGTGCTAGCTGATAAAACACCGACTTCTGCACGATGTCCGCAATGATGTATGTCCGGAAGAAATACAGGTTGTTACCACTGGACATTATCATTATATATCCACCATCAGCATCGTGTATAAAAGGGTATCACTGAGTGAGGATGCCTCATTCGAGAAGATGGATCACTGAGGAAGACCTGGCTCGACACGAAGGCGAAGCTGCAACGTCGAGACGAACAACAATCATGGACCATCGACTCGGATCATCGGCTCTGAGGAAGACGAAGACGTCGAAACGTTAGCCGAAAATAAATATATTTATCAACCTCATGCAAGCTTATCAAGAAAGAATGCATATTGATTAGTCACACCGAGGTTCAGGGAAAGTCGGTTTCGAAATACTACAAATTGAGTTTCACTTGACATGATCATGAATGATCAATGTACTTTATTTCATTGATAAGCTAACACGAGGCTGATAAAGTTGCTTATTTGGCTGACGTTTCGACGTCTTCCTCCTCATAGCCGATGAGCCGAGTCGATGGTCCACAGTCGTTCGCCTTCTCGATGTAAATCGAGCGACTATGCATCACTGACACGGATCATCGGCTCTGAGGAAGACCGCAATAGATTATTTAGGTTAGAGCTGACATCCTAAAAGTGCTTTGGGCATATCATGAACGTTGAAAGAGACATAAAGGAGGATTGTGCAGAAGTGCTGTCAAGAAGGGATGCGGCTCTCTTAAATAGGACATCGTTGATGAACAAAAATTCCGCGTTCACCGTTTTCAATCATCCATACCTCAGAGCTCTTTTCAATGATTCCAAAACGTGCACTGATGCTTCATCTGCTTGAGAATTCTAATTACCATCTATTTTGTGGACTCATTTCTTGAATGGCGTCTTTAGAATGTAATCGGCGCAGACAAAATCAAAAAGACCGTGTAGATCAGACGTTTAAAAAAAAAGAAAAAGCATCTTTCAAAAGAACGGTTCCTCTTTGGTCTTCCTTTAAAACGAAATATTTTACATAAGAAGCAAAAAATGCATGGTTTGACCATTCAATGAGAAGAGTTATCGACGGGTAAACGAGGAGAACGGAAAGGGCTCAGAAAGCATAAAACGATTTTCAAAGGGGACCATCTATGTGTCTATAGTCATGGCTCGTCTTAACCGCGCGTGTGTTCGCGGCTGCAAACGATTCATGATCGCGCAGCTATTGTTATAAGTTTCTGTTTTGTTCTTAAAAACAGCAAATGAGCGGTCAGAAAGCACATGATACGTTCCGATGAAGGGTTTGAAGTAAACTGCATTACTAATTTGTATTCACTTCATAATTTTGTGAAAGCTTCATCATTAGTGAATTTTCCACTCATTAATGCTGGAGAGGACCTGTAGATGGAAACGCTCCAATATTTCTTTCGGTGAAAACTCCGATGCATTTTTAAACCAAGACATGGCTGACCAAACTACAGACTCTAAACTAACAATATTCGTCTATTACGCTTGTACTAGCTTCTGGATAAAATGAACTGGGCTAAGTACAGTGGTCGATGTGCTTTCATTCTCTTCACTCTTTGATACTTCGCTGCGTGGTATCGAAAGCATTTTCATTATTGTCCCTTGTTTCTATTCTAGCATAATTTTCATACAAACATAGGGGAAAACTCGAGCGATGGAAAGCATTTCAATCAATGTTGAGAGGGAAGAGAGTGTCGACCCAAGTGTATGCTGTATTTGTTTCTTTGATCCAGCTCGGTTACTGTGGAGTGTCTAGCACACATTAGAAACACTTTCATTCGCCGATCCTCAATCTCGTATTGATCACTGCTATTCCCTCCGTAGTTTTCGAGAGTGTTTCTCATATGAATCCCCGCAATGCATGCAAGATGTTTTGTCAACAATTTGCTTCGACAGTTTTATTTCATTAGGATTCCTCTTCTTTAGGTTACAAAACAACAATTCATTATATACTAAACTTTGATACTGACAGCGGATGTGGATTGGCTAATCCAATATGGAATTCGATCTAAGGTAATATATTTATTCGGATTCCTGGCTTTCGAACCTATTTGTTCATTATGGAAGCTAACAAAGCATATCCAGCCTTCATTGTTGATACTCCTCTTTTTCACTCTCATCAAGATGAAGCTTAACCATGAAGTCAATAATGAGCAACTGCTAGCCAAGCGAATAGGAAAAGAAATTCACAGTTGTAGTTGAGATTCCGTAAGGAATTTCAGGAATTTACCGCCAGGAATAAGAATCGAAGAGGTGTTTCGCCAGAAGGAAAACAAAAGGATACTTGCTCTTAATTAGGGCTTTTCTAATATATTTATAGAGCGCGAGTAGTGCAGTGATGGAGAAGTTGTTCAATAATAGAAGCAAAGCTCTTATTCTACCCACCCAGTACAACCAAGCCTCCCATCACTTCGTGGTCGGGAAATTGACAGTAGATATGTCTGGGAAGTGCAACGTCGGACCAGTAAAAGCTGAAGATTATCTGTGATGAAGGTCTGTTAATGCCGTAGTACAGTTATTCCAGAATTCCTTGAACAGTGAACTCAACTAGCGTTCATCGGGATTCGTAAAAAGGCCAAAACTATCGACCAGCAGTCAAACCCACACACAAATCCAAAGACCTTCATGGACGATGAATGCAAAAAAACAGATCAATTGAAACAAAAGCTGGGATTCGCGCAATATTTGGTGTCGGATCATACAAAATAGAAAGAAATAGATAATAATTTAGTCAGACTAAGATTTAAACCTATTTATACATCGAATCTTCAAGTATGAAGCGCGCCATATTCACTGAGCACAGAACGCATACGTCCGGCTCAAATCTCTTCGTCATCACTGCTATCATCGTTTGGATAGTGTAATTCATATTCACCTTGTCAACGTTCGTCATTCTATAGCACGGTTAACAACGATAGTTTTCGGACCACATTACCTTGTACGGTGATCAACAGTTCGTAAAGTTTTTAGCCACAAAGACTTATGACTCAAAGAGCACAACAATGACTCGAAATCCCTGTCTATTTTGTACTACGGCCGTGCCACACTCATAATCTTGAATATTTCACTCTATGCGGTCAACCTTCAGTCGTCCACATTAATTATCATAGCACCTCACCTACTGTAAAAGTTGTATTTTACGGTTAACTTTGGCGTCAGTTGGCTCCATTAGGCAACACCCCCCGCGCCAGCATATCCTCCGATGAGAGCATGTGGGCGGGGCAGACTGACCTGCGTCCATACCATTCCATTGATCGTGGCAGGCTAGGGGTCAGCGGAGCGTGCCCAGGGTCGACCGAAGAGCGTTTCTGTTCGCGCTAGTCTGAGCTCAGGCGTTCAAATATTGTATCCTGTATGTCGCACCAGTTTTACGTGCTATATGACTTGCCCTAAAACAATGAATTGCTGTTGAGGTGTGAGTGTTTTGTGGAATGTTCCTTTCAGTTTTTTTTCTTCAACTGCAATACGGCTTAACTATGAGGTATTGCTATGGAAAATGTTCTTGTATATCCATTTACGGTTGTTCTAGTATCGCTATTCAGCAACAAGTTGATCGAAACTCTGTTTATTCTTGGGTGTAGGTTTGTCGTAGAGTTTACAAGTTTGTAGCGTTTATTTTTTTTTCGTGTTGTGCAGTTTTTACATATTCCTTAGTTAAACAAGATTCTTGTTCTTCATGATGCACTTTTGAGATATTTTTTTTTTGGAATTTTTTCTTCATATATTTATCTCCTATGTCCTCTCATCATCACGCATTTGTAAAGCTCTTATTTGCAAACTCTTTAAGCGTTTTAATCGTTGAGTTCTGTTTGTCCTCAGTTTTAGTGTTACTCATCACCACTTAATCTCCTAAACTCGGACACCACGGAGTTCCAAAAACACTTTTGTTTTCGGTTTTAGGTGTTCTACGTTAAATATTTCAGAATGCTAGGCATTCCGTTCCTTGATAATGCGATTTGGAACTGGTTTAAGCCGCAGACTTTTGATGATCCTGTCGATCGTCTGAACTACTTCATTACTTCAACGCTTCTTACCTTTTTCGCCATAATGGTCTCAGCTAAGCAGTACGTTTAAAAGTTCACCTTGGCCATTCACGTGGAAATTGTTTCTTTTCCATTCATCTACCCCTTAATGAAAAGTTGAAGAGTAAAATAAAGTAAATAAGGTCGTTGTGTATGCTTCCCTGGTGGAAACTTGAAAGTGCGATAAAGTCGTTTGTTGCTATAGGTTTTACTCATCAAGGCACCACCCACTACCGATTAGACACTCGCTAAGGTACTGCGTGAAAACACTCTTCCAGGATGAATGCGAGGGAAAGCAAAGGTTTTCAAAGCTTCCGCACTAACTATATGCGGACAAGCTGTAAATCACGATAATTTTCACAGTACTCCACTCGTAACAGTTTTTGGTAGCGATTTATGTTAGCGCAGAAAGTGAAACGTTTATACAACGTTATAACTGAATAGGTTTTCTGTCGTCGTTCACATTACTTTTATTTGTACGCATTTCAAAAAATTCTCGAAGGAATTCCAATGGAGAATACTGAGTGAAATGCGGCGAGTGTTGTTTGTATTCTCTAACGGATAGTGATAGGGTCCTCAAACAAATTAATACGTGAAGCCAAGCCGCAGTGTTGGCAGATCGCGACCGCTCCTTCAAACAATGTGGCTGGACTGGGAGGTTTGCACATGGTTCTTGTGTTGTCATCGTTAATGGGTTATATTGAAAGCATTGATTGAAAAATGGACTTTGTTCTTATTGGGCTGAAAGCAATATCCGAAATTTTTATTTGTTTTATGCGAAATATCTTATCACCTTTCGTCAGGATTTAAATCCTCATTGTGGTTGCATGGGCGACGTCTTGATATATAGCAAGGAGTTTATTGTCCAACATAGCCAAGCAAGCCGACTAGTTCGACATTTTTATCAGAATACTTCGAATGTTCTTACTATGAACCTAGTAGCGATAGGGCTACATGGCTCATTGTTATTTGTCGGGAATCAACTTACACGCGACCTAGAACCACACCTCGAACAAATAGTCCTTACGTTCAAGTTGATGTAGTATAGTAATCTACTCGTGACTATATTTCTCCTTTTCGTCTCTATGGAAAAATGCGACAATAACTGCGCATCTTCTCACCAAAGGCAATAAAACTGAAGGACCTCGTGGGAAAAGTATAATACTCCTGGTGTCCCTCAAGCGAACACAACCCAGTAGGTCCTTATTACTCGGACGAATGGAGACTTGGACGAAGACTTGTCCACTCGAGATGATTGGCGGAGTTCCACGTAACACTTATGATAAACGTGATACATTATATACATGGGCACATGTGGCGCAGTGGTTGGAGGCGCCCTGCCACAAACACATGGAATCCATTCCCGCGCTCACAACCCAACAAGCCTTCCATCCCTCCGGAGTCGGCAAAGTGGTACCAGACTTGTCTGGAAGGATGACAGCACTGGCTCAATACATCGGTAGGCCACCGCGAGACATTGTGAAAGCCAGATATGCATTCAATCACCTGCTACGATACTTAATGAAGTCGAATGCATCCCTCAGGGATTGATCAACGCCGGAAGCTTTGTCCTTTATCCTTTTATTATGTATATACAGAGACACTATCACATGCATACGCGCGTTCAAACAACTGAGGAAGGGTAACGGAAATGTTTTGCAACTGTCCTTTCTAGCTGTTTGGGAAACCCTTGAAGCAAAGTTGTTAAAAGCAAAAGTACTACAGTTTGTTTGTTAACCTACTAAAGCCTTCAGTTGTATGATGTATTACGAGAAATGACCTGCGTGTACAGCAGTGGCTAGAGCTGCCCACCGAAGTATACTTAGTCGCTGGTTCGCTCTCTTTCCCAGGACTAACCAAGCTTTCCATCCTTGCGGAGACGGCAGTTTTGCGCGTGATATCCGAGAGAATATCAGCTTTGACTTGGTACATCGGTAAATAGGAATTTATTTTATAGATTATATTTGTATTCATTCACCTGTAACGATAATTGATGAAGACAAATACGCAGCGTATCCCTCAGGGATTGATCAACACAGGACTCACTTTCCTTCATTCTTTATTTGATGCGTTATATGGAATCGCTTTAGATATGTTGGCTCTCCAATTCAATGTTGGATGCCCATGGAATTCAAAGGCGGTTGGGAGCAATATGCAGAAGATTACTGCTTTATTCAGAACACATTTTTTGTACCATTCCATGAAGAAATTCCTGCAGACGATGAAGATCGCTCGCAGGTATTCTATTTGTGAACTAATCTTCTAGAACTTCTATTTATCTAAATTATTAGTTAAATTAGCACGTTAGCGCTATGAAAACTGAGGGGTCGAAAGTCACCAGGAGACGTCGCTCTCCAGAAACACTCGAGCCAATTCGCCAGCGTGGAATCGCACGAGCTGCAGGGAGCAGCGAACAAACGTCCGAACTTGCAAAACAGTGCAGACAGACGATAAAAGAAGATCTTAAAGAGAGAAGAGGAGCAGTAGCGGTCGAAGCCGCAGAGGCTGGGAAAAGCATTCAAAAAGCCCACTGAAGCTTCGCCAATTACAAGACCAAGATGATTGCTCTTTGGCGCCCAGAAGGAACAGTTACATCGTCCAGAAAGGCAATAGAGAAAATCATTCAAGAGTAAATCGATGAAGAATCGTACAGCACCAGGCCCGGACAGGATAAGATCAGAACACCTGACGAATATTCCATCAGTCCTCGTAGACACACTGGCTCGGCTTTTCACACGTTACCTGTCTGAATGCAAAGTTTCTACTAAGTGGAAGATCAACAAGACTGTCATTGTTCAAGAAGGGTGACCTACACGATATCGGCAACTATCGTCCAATCTGCATGTTGTCTGTCGCCTACAAACTTTTCACTCGAGTTGTCCTAATCAGGATTGACAGAACACTACACGAAGGACAGCCATGTGAGCAAGCAGGGTTTCGAAAAGGATTTAGTACGATGGACCACATCCACACAGTAACACGGCTCACCGAAGTATCGCGAGGGTATAAAAGACCGCTCTCTCTCACTTTTATCAATTTGCAGAAGGCTTTTGATTCAGTTGAGATAGAAGCAGTCTTGGAGGCCCTTGATAGTCAAGGAGTCCCTACTCAGTACATAAAGATTTTTCGTGAGCTGTGCAAAAATTCAACCAAGGTATCACCATTATACAACGACATTAACATTGGCGTCAAAAGAGGAGTTAGGCAACGTGATACCATCTCGCCAAAGACTTTGATAAAGCCTGTGGAAAGATTGGTCTTCGACTAAATCTCACAAAGACGATGCTCATGAAGAACGGATTGGTTTCGCATGCCCCATTCACGCTCAACGGAACGGATATCTCCCAATGCTCCAGTTATGTCTATTTAGGTCGGCAAATCAACATGTTGAACGGCTTAGCTCCAGAGCAGAGCAGGAGGGGAGCAGCTTGGCGAGCTTTCAAGAGCATCGACGTTGTGGTGAAGAGAATAAAGTGCACCCGAGCCAGTGCACTCCTTTTCGACTTAACGGTACTGCCTGCCCTATCGTATGCGTCAGAAACTTGGTCGCTGCGTAAGCAGGATGAAAGACCACTCAACGTTATCGAACGCGCAGTCGAAAGGACGATGCCAGGATTACCTCGTTCCACACAAGGGTTGTGATCCGGAGCTCCGACCTGCGTCAACGATCAAAAATCAAAGATGCCGTGCTGTACCCCAAACAGAAGATAAGGTGGGCCGAACACGTAGTGCGTGTGGATGGCACCCGTTGGACAGTAGCCGTTAGTGACTGGATTTCTCGGTATGTTAAGCGCACTGCAGGAAGACCACCGTCTCGGTGGTCAGAGTTCTTCACGAAGAACCTAGAAGGAAGATATGATGCTCGACGAATCCGTATAGCGAGCAGAAGCCACTGGGCTACTCTTGCGCGCGAGAGGGAAAAATGGAAGATTTACTGGCGCCCGCTCGAGTCACTCGATGATAAACTGGACTACAGGTGATTAGTTGAATGTTATACCCAAATTTCTGATATTCAGAAGCATTTTTGTGTGTAAAATTTGTTGCAAGAGAAGTTTTAATAAGTATTATCTATTGAAATGGCTACATGGTTTTTCTTCATTAGCCTCATAAAAGCATACAATTTTAGGCTGAAATAGGATACTATCAATGGGTGCCAATCGTACTCGCTCTTCAAGCTATCATGTTTTATCTGCCTAATTGGATTTGGAAGACTCTCCATCAACAGAGTGGTCAGTTCGGAGAGAAAAATCACTAGCAGCTGCGATTGCAACTGCCATAACTGAATACAGCATCCGGTTGCAGTAAGAATTTATTGAAAGGAAGAATGTGAACAAATCTAATCGGCAGTATACTGTGGTGGATGGGAAAAGCCGTAGTAGATTAACCCTTACCCGATGAAGTTGGTTTCTCGAAAACACGTGATAATTTCTCTATTATCAGAGTAATGGAGGAGTTGAGGACTTTATACTTTATGGGAAACACTTCACTCGATTGCTCGAAGAGCAGATGTAGTTCCTAAGACCGACTTTCTATTAACCTCGGCAATGATCAGATAATTCTTGTCGTTCTTGTTTAGGAAACACGAGGTGTTACCTTACTCTTTAGTCCGATAAAGCTGCCGTTTCGGCAGTATCGCTTTCTTCAGAGTCTGCAGAGTGATTTTATACGCAATTTATTACCTTTGTTTGTTTGTTTGTGTTATGGAAGCGTTTGGCATAGTAAATAGCCTGTCAATACACCCTTCTAAGCGCTGAAGAAGGCAATACTGCCGAAATGGTGGCTTGGTCGGAATAAACAACAGGGAGTATGCGGTTTTAATCAAATATTGCTTCAATTTTAGATCATTTGGAATTAATATTGTTAGAAAATTGGAAACGAAACGTAGATTTTTGAAATTTCCCACCTAAGCGCGGTGCCCGCACAACTCAGCGATGCATTGGGGAACACCACATTGTTATGAAATCGCACTGGTTCAATTGTTTGTGTCCATGATAGGAACCTCGACGAAAAAAAAACCTGAAAAGTGCGTTTGGTTTATTCCAGAAAGTCGTGACCTCATCATGGTAAGAAAAGAAAACTCCTATCCTCCACGCAACGATGTATAGAATTTAATGCTTCTTACTGTAAATGTAGATGTAAAATTCGCTATGAGATATGCTGATTTAAAGCTGAAAACATGTATTATTTTCGCATCATATAACTCGTGTAGACCTCACGTCGTCGCGGAAGTGTTTAGAAAAACTAATTATTAGAATTTCTAATGTATATGTGCCACACATGCGTTATTGCTGTAACAAACAGTTATTTGTTTTTCAAACCGTCCATCCTTTAACCTAGATATGAACTCAGTATTTTGTTAGATTATTAGGCTAGCAAGGGTTTGTCACAAAACATTAATCTACTGTTGTTCCGGCACCTTTGCCTTCTTCAAAGCCGGGATTATATGATGCGATTGTGGACACATATCCGTCCTCCTGATAGTATTAGTCTTCGTTGTCGCACAGAGTCGAATCATCTGGAGTCGAGTATCGCTCAAGTGACAAAACGCCTTTTAAATGAAGATCATTCTGGTGTCCTCAAATCTGCTTTAACATGGATCATTTAAGTCTTGCAAACCAAAGAGAGGCATTTCTTACTGAGTTGTGTGAATTTTGCTTCGTATCTTCCTGAATTTGCACTTCTAGATCTATAATATTCCGTTAACAAACACACTGTGTTTTTGAAGTATAAACCGCGCGATATCATTTAATACAAAAGCAAACAGAAGTCTATAGTTAAATAGCTAGATAATCTGTTCTCACATGTCATATGGGCCTGTTGCCTTCAGTTCATCTCGTTGCCTTGCAACCGATATCCGTAGATGTTCTCGTGTACGTATATAGGTTCCGTTGTCATGTTGTCATAGTCCGTGTATTTATAAATGTTTTACCTTCTTCATAACCCTTCACCGGGTTCTTTTAAAAACTGTTTTGGTTGACGTTTCGGCGTTTCGCCTCTTCGGACCTACACTGCTAAAACGATCAGCTATGGAAAATCGACGTAGATCAACGCTTCTCGATGGAAACAGAAGACGCCGAAATGCTACCCAAACCAAGTTTTTAAAACCTCGTATTAGCTTAATAGTCTAGCAAAAGATTTTTTCAATCTTAATTTCTTTTATGAAATGCTGAGATATTTGCAAAACTCCGGACCACAGCTGTATGCAATGGAGAACGAACACGCGCTGTTGTCCTTACCGGGGAGCAGCGCACTTCACCACTACACCATCCGGGTCCTTCGCTTTGCGTGTATCTCAGCTACTTCTATCGATCTTTTTTGCCATCAGCAATCACCCGTCAGCGGGGTTGATCTGGGGAGCCAATATCGGCATTGAACCCAGTTAAGCTGAGGCTTAGTTATAATCTCAATCTTAACTGCCACGACCGACTTTCTATTAACCTCGGCATTGATCAAGTGATTTTCTTCGTATTTTTGTTGAGCAAACGCGAGGTGTTACTATTCTTTGTTCACGATTAAGCTGACGTTTCGGCGAATTTCGCCTTCTTCAGAGCCTGGAAAGGTCAAGTTGATAGCAACTCACTCGGCCAGACGCCTCCATAACCAAACAAAGAAACCCCAAACCAAGACTTCAATCACTTTGAACACAGCTTTGCACACTCACCGCTTTCTATGAGGTTTCCACTAAGTATGTCACGTAGAGACCAACCGCACAGAAATCACGTGGAAGTATAATGTGCCCCTCACATCAGAAAAGCAGTTTTATATACTGCCCTATATCACGCGTGATAGTGATGCATTCTTCCCTGCGGTTCATTTTCGGATTTCTGGAATTAATCCAGAGTGCCTCGAGAGTTTTTCGCGCCTGTGTTCTTGATTCGCGTGCGAGGATCGTGACACATACTTCGAAGTCGTCCCCGTTATGTCTCTGGGTCCTATGCGTGCCTAGCGGGGTATTTGGTCTATTTTTGCCGGCTAGGTGTTCTTTCATGCGGACACAGAGGGGTCTACCCGTTTCGCCAATGTATTCGTCACCACACGTCTTACAGGAGATCAGATAAACTATACCCGAGCTCATGCAATCACCGTCTCTACCACTGGGGCAAATTATGCAATTTTGAGTTGCACATAGACGGTCATATAGGCGGTTACGAACTAGCTGACGCTTAAGATTACTCGGTTGTGTTTCAACTACGCTCACCGATTTCTCTAAGCCCGCCCTTCTTAAGCAGCGTTTTATAGCTGTACTTATATCATTTGAGATGAAGGGTAGGATAAACGGGACCCTTCTATCGCTAGAGTTGTCGTTTGGAGGCCTACGATTTCCTCTACACCTATTCTGAGCTGCAGTTTCGTAGCCATTAGAAATAGCTATTTGCCGTGGCAAGTTCCGGGACTCCTCTCTCTGCTCTCTTCCCGTGCACACGTTGGTTGCTGTTCGAAACATGTTTCTTATAAGCGCCCTTTTCGTGTGAGAGGGGTGAGAGGAGAGGTAATGAACCAAGATATTTTTACTACTTGGCTTTCGGTACCACTTTGTAATGTAGCCATTTTCTGATAGGTGAATTTGTACGTTCAAAAATGGAAGCCATTTTTCTTTCGGTTCAATGTCNCCCGCCCTTCTTAAGCAGCGTTTTATAGCTGTACTTATATCATTTGAGATGAAGGGTAGGATAAACGGGACCCTTCTATCGCTAGAGTTGTCGTTTGGAGGCCTACGATTTCCTCTACACCTATTCTGAGCTGCAGTTTCGTAGCCATTAGAAATAGCTATTTGCCGTGGCAAGTTCCGGGACTCCTCTCTCTGCTCTCTTCCCGTGCACACGTTGGTTGCTGTTCGAAACATGTTTCTTATAAGCGCCCTTTTCGTGTGAGAGGGGTGAGAGGAGAGGTAATGAACCAAGATATTTTTACTACTTGGCTTTCGGTACCACTTTGTAATGTAGCCATTTTCTGATAGGTGAATTTGTACGTTCAAAAATGGAAGCCATTTTTCTTTCGGTTCAATGTCGATATTGGCTCCCCAGATCAATCCCATTGACGGGTGATTGCTGATGGCAAAAAGATCGATAGAACTTGCTGAGAGACATGCAAAGCGAAGGACCCGGTTGGTGTAGTGGTGAAGTGCGCTGCTCGCCGGTAAGGACAACAGCACGTGTTCGTTCTCCATTGCATACACCTGTGGTCCGGAGTTTTCCAAATATCTCAGCATTTCATACGAGTTATAATTCGAAACATAACATGCCATTAAGAAGAAAAAGGCAGTAAATAAAAGAGTTAAGATCTTAATTTCTTTGTTTTCTCTCTGCTTCTTTCAAAGCACCACTTTATTCTCAATTTTGTCGATTTTAACAAGTTTTCGTTTCAAAGCTGTTTTTTAACAGTAAATTAAGCTGCTACGGCCGTATGATGTGATTTTTTATGGTTTTACTTTGATGAGTCATATCTTATTTTTAAAGAAAAAGTGTAGAATATTCTGCAACTAGGAAAATAATGATCCTCTCCCAGTTAGAAGTCGAACCTCCATGCGAAAGTCATTAAGAAATTCACTGATAACGAAGTACTGACAAAATTGCAAAGTGTAATACAAAGTTACAAATTAGTAGCTTTATTTACTTTGGACGCTTTGTCGGTACGTTTAGCCTTTTGATGACCATCTTGCATTTTTCTAGATTATTTAGTCACTCGATATGTTAGAGCTAACATTTGGTACTGATTGAATCAGCGGCTTTGTGCTTGAAACAAGTGTTACATTACCACATTCATGACGATGAGCATTGATTTAAGTGCGTATTTGGCCGAAAACAGTTTGCTTTTCAACATCAATCTCATTTCGACGTAAGCCTTATTAATTAGAGTTAAACCATTAGAATTTGCAGTTGTTGTACAAGTTTTGTTGTTCTATGACGATGATTCTGATCTTTTGCAGCCCAAAAATCACATAATTTTTTACCTTTGTTTCGTACATGCTCGAATTTCAAATAAGAGGAGGAGTGAGTAAGGTAGATTTCACCCAGGTCGATGTCCTCAAGTCCATCCTCATTGTTTCTAGCTGTCAGCGTTGAACTGGAAATTCTCAAGGGATAGGTTTCGTTTTCGGTTATAAAATGAGTTTTAAACTAAAGTTAAACGATTATTATAGAAAAACTATGTAAGGATTTAGAGGGATATGGGAAAATTTTGTAATTGTGTTTACTTCTCAAGTCCTCAAATGTAAGATTTCTAGTGAGATTATCGGTATTTTTTCGAGATACTTTGTGTGTGGTGAATGTCTTCTACTCTGTGGCATAAAATTTACCTGTGTAGATTTGATTTGATGTATAAGGGAATATGTGGAAAAAACAAGTTAAAGTAGTCAGAACACTACGAAGTTTTCTATAACACCTTTATGAAGATAATTTGTTATGTAATTCTTTGCGGTAGATATAGATCTGGATGATCACTCTAATCTACTTTTCATGACCGTAGTTTTCAATAGATGCTCTACGGCAGTATTTCCCAGTTTGCGCTTAACTCCGAAAATTCTCGAGATCTATTCAGTTTTCGCAGCAGTTCGGAACCAGTCCTCAGTATCTCAGTGCGAAGTTTTTTTGATTCGAGCCATATTATAACATTTCTGGGCCTCTACAAGCTCTTCGCATCCTTTGTGGTTAGTGACTATTCCGAGCATGATCTTACTCTTCTTCAGTAGAACAACTAGTCACTAGTCTATACATGCGTATAAGCTATGAATTCACTAGTGCTAGTACTTAGTTAATCACAATTGAACAACCTTGTGAGATCTTTAAAAATAATGAAAACAAAGCGAAGAAATTTAATATTCTCCGAAGTCAATCCGCAAATAAGCACACAGCGGGCGTACTTTGATTCTGAGTGAACCGTAAATATCCCATTGTAGCTTCACGATTATCTAAAGAAGTACAATTACATTATTTTTGATTTTTGTCCAATAAACGTAGACTATACAGGGATCGACCTGGGTACAGCTATAGAGGATGCGCGTAAATTGAGGCAGATTGTTGGAGCAGATCGAAAGAAAGAAGTGGGAAAGTTAGCTGCTTATCTTGAAGAATGCTTAGAGTTCCACAGTGAACGTCGCTCCGCATGTCGACTGTTCTGTTTTCGGTACGATTTTCTACTTGTTATTTGAAGACTTACCATGACTGTTCAAGTTCGCATTCCAACCTTCAGGTTCGGTCGCGGATTGGGTTCGTACGTCTCGATGTTATATCTTTTTGTGAAATTCCTCTATCTACTTAACATTTTTACACAGTTCTATATTTTAAATAGTTTCTTGGGAAGCGAATACACGTTCTGGGGCTTTCAGGTGAGCAGTAGATAACATTTTTTCCTTTGTTTTTTTTATTATGTCTAAATGATTTGAACGTTTGAATGGCGCGACTTCACTAATAACAAACAGTCGTGTGGGCCACTGTAAATTTCCCATTTTCCTGGTAGTTGGCTGTTCTCGGTTAGGGAAAATTTTCCACTAGAATCCCGTTAATCGTGTCAGGACTTTCTCAGGTTGTTACCGCTTACCAGCTAGTGACTTCTCTGTTGTCTGATGTAGACGATTCCTGGCTCTAGTTCATTCTTATCTGTACTTCGGGGTGGAAATATCAAAATCCTTGTTAGTTTGAGAAACTCTGCTGAAAGTTAAATGTTTACTGAAGATCATACTTCCAAAGTCAGCGACAATTCTATGCTGCCGTAATGCAGTAAATGGGTGAACCGTTTATGCCAGATATGTCAAAATTATTATGTTTAACACTGTTTATTTTTTATTTTGTACTATCCGATAGCATAAATTGCGCGAATCTCAGCACTGCTTCCATTCGAATCGTTCTTCGCATCTATCAGCTACGAAGATCTTGAGATTTTGTGTGTCCTTTGCATTTATTCGAGGATTTCTGGTCCACTTGTTGCCTGTTGTTGAATACCCTTTGAATCAATCTTATCTGGAATCTCTGGATAGCCATACTGGGTAGCTATTTCCAAATCTTCATCTCAGGAAGTTGCCAGCTTCTATGGATTGAAGGGAGCGAGCCGATTCCATGCATGACAAGTGCTGCCAATTTCTCGACCAGGAGAGATGGAACTTCGTAGATCAGACGGAGAACAAACTGGGTCCTTGGGTATCACATTACACTAGTTGAGGTAGAAATGGTCATAAATGCTTTGGACAACCGTAATAGTATTACTTAGTACACAGAAATTAAGAAGACATGTCAGAAACCATACAGTAACTGCAAAACCAGAATTTCACCATGGTACAACGATATTTTCATCAACAGAGAGAGGTGGTCGAAAGTGCCTTACCATGTAGCGAGAATTATGAACTTCCGCTCTTTAGAACGTCATACGAAAAGCGAGAAGCGGCAACTTTTATAAAATTTTAGTGAAAACCTTCGCATCTCTCATACCTTTATGGTTTACGCCTCATCGGAGCTGTTGCGCATGTGGAGTGTTTATAGGTGCCCAATTCCTATCTGCAGAGTGGAGTCTATCGTCCTAATAGTGTAACCCAAAGTAAAAAGGAATTCAGCGTTTCTGTCCCAAATCCCAGTTAAGAATAAGATTTTGCCACGATAGTACCCAGTGAACTACTATCCACTGCTACCTCCACTTCAAATGCATTGAAAATAGTCGCATAATACCAAAAATGTGTTGCTCCCATTTCTCGAGCAAGCGGAGCACGGTGGGTGACTCCGAAGGGTCGCTAGGCTGGGTAGCGATGAACAATTGTGACTTTAGTGCTGCTTAGTTAAGATGGCTGATGAATTAGTGGGATTACGAGTAATATAAGTTACTTATAGGAAAAAGAACGACTTTTTTCACGTGAATTTCATGTCGATTGTGATGCTAAATGCTTGCGTCTTTAGACATTCCGCGATTTGTGGAATGGTCGTGAATGGCTAGATTCGGGCGTTTTTCCGCGTGTTACTCTGTGCGATTTCAAGATTCGTCGTCTTGCCAATATACATAATTACACCGTTCAGTGTGTACTCATGATTAATATGTTCAATGAGAAAATCTATCTCTTCGTCTGGTAATACCAAGAATTTTTTAATTCCCAAGAGTTTTCTCTTTTGAAATAAATCAGATTCTTTTGCAGGTTTTGGTTCCTGTTTGTCGCTATCTCCACGGGAATAAATTTCGCTTACAGTTTTGTGCAGCTAGTATTCACTTCATTTCGGGAAAAGTCGACAACAAACTGGCTTTCCGGACCGCGATATGGAGAGGATACGGCGGATGACTTTCGTCACGAGCATATCATGCGCCGGTTTACGCACGTTGCACTTCGTCCTGGTATATCACATCTATCACTGATAGGACGTTTATCGAAAGAAACCTTTTTTCCATCACTAATTATGCGACCATTCAGACGGAATTCTTTTACTGCGCTTCATTGAAGGACACGCTGGTGCTATAGTTGCAAGGGAGCTCACTACTAAACTTTTTATGGACTATCTTGAACAGGTGTGGAAACGTTTTTTCGTATTATGCGAGTCATTGAAAGACATTTCTGAATTATTTATATAGATTAACTAAAACCCACTTTTCAGAAATCTTTTCCGGGACATAGTCACTCTACCAAGTCGACGAGTCCAGGAATGATTGACGATGGTCCACATGAGAACCTATACAACTCTGATAAAATTGCGGGTCTTATGGCCCCAGACTATCCATCGAAACACATCTGATTGGTTTTCAGCAATTGTTGATTTCGTATGGTTTCGTCCAACTTTCATCTTATTTTTCTCAATATAGTGAACTTATTCTAGTATTAATACTAGTTCATAATTCACCGCAATATTTACCTTTGCTTTCTTTCCATTTATGTGCTAGTTACATCCATTTTGGTGATCATAGTTGTGACAAAAAGGATATATGCAGTGGTGAAGCTGGAGAAAATATTTTTCTGAAGCAGACTTCATCGTTTGGTGTGTTGTTGGAAGGTAATCGGGTCCCGTAGTAGTTGAGCGCACTGCAGCAGATGCACTTAGATGATATTTTTTCTATGCATCTTTGAGTTCGAAATTTTTGACTAGCAATTTCTCTACAATTTAACCTTCGAATATAATATTGGTAATCACTGATAGTCCAAACCTCTCACATTCTGTTACATTTCCGTTTCTTCTGTATTATTACTGTATTAATAAACACTCATCATTGATTCCTTCAGCGAAAAGGAACGAGGAAACATAGAACATGTATGCTAAGTGCTTCAGAGTTAATTAGTGATTATGTGAACGTATGGAATTTTACACTTCTTTATTTTATCCAGTACATTAATCTTCGCACTTAACCGTTCACGCGAAGAGGGTTTTCAAATAATTTGTTATCGGTGGCTCTTAGTCTCCTAAAGAACTTCATCTTTGTTAACACTGAAAGAAGCTGTTGGAGTATTAATATCAAACATTTCAATTAGCAGTGACCTATTTAGCAGAGTTTATTTCCTTACCAGCGCGAGATGATAAAGATGCGTGAAAGTTCAACAGTGGGTTAAACTCTGTAAATTGTATGAAACGCTAAGATATTTGCAAAACTCCGCACCACAGGTGTATGCAGTGGGGAACGAACATGCGCTGTTATCCTTAGCGGGGAGCAGCGCACTTCACCACTACACCATCCGGATCCTTCGCTTTGCATATCTCTCAGCTAGTTCTATCGATCTTTTTGCCATCAGCAATCACCCGTCAATGGGATTGATCTGGAGAGCCAATATCGGCATTGAACCCAGTTAAGCTGAGGCTTAGTTATAATCACAATCCTAACTCTTCTATTTACTGCCTCGATAGAACTAGCTGAGAGACACCTGTGGTCCGGAGTTTTGCAAATATCTCAGCATTTCATACGAGTTATAATTCGAAACATAACATGCCATTAAGAAGAAAAAGGCAGTAAATAAAAGAGTTAAGATTGTGATTATAACTAAGCCTCAGCTTAACTGGGTTCAATGCCGATATTGGCTCCCCAGATCAACCCCGCTGACGGGTGACTGCTGATGGCAAAAAAGATCGATAGAAGTAGCTGAGATGCACGCAAAGCGAATGACCCGGATGGTGTAGTGGTGAAGTGCGCTGCTCCCCGGTAAGGATAATAGCTCATGTTCGTTCCCCACTGCATACACCTGTGGTCCGGAGTTTTGCAAATATCTCAGCATTTCATACGAGTTATAATTCGAAACATAACCTGCCATCAAGAAGAAAAAGGCAGTAAATAAAAGAGTTAAGTCTGTAAATTGTATTGAAATTGAAGCTATCATTGCCAAATATAACTACAACGATGCTGAAATATTTGCAAAATTGCATTCTGCAGGTGTTTGCTGTGGGGATCAAACTCGTCATTACCCTTGCCAGGGGGAAAAGAGTTCACCAGTACAGCAGCGATTTCGGTCTCCACCGTGAACACCTGTGGTCTGGAGTTTTGCAAATATCCCAGCATCAGTTTAGTTATATTCGACATCATACTCCATCATGAAAAAGAATAGGCTGTAAACAAAAAGTGATTGTCGTTGCCATAGTTTAACTTTTTCCATTCACCGCCTATTCTTTTAACGATAAGAATAGGCAGTGAATAGAAGAGTTAAACGTTGTGATTTCAACTGCAGCATCAATTAATTAAGCTCAGTGCTTACTTTTTCTTCCCATATCATTTCCATTGGCAGATCATTGATGATCGCTAGGGTAAAAAACTGTCTGGGGGAAAGAAAGCAAAGGCCTCGGTTCGTGCGGTGGATAGGAAATGGCTCCCCGGAAAGCACAATCGTGGCTTGGAATCCCAAATGGTCCCAAGTTTTGTTCATATGTCAGCATCGTTGTGGTTATTGCTGCCAAACTCAGTTTATTCATAGTTAAAATCTTCAAATCCGTAGGTACCAGCTCATCTCTATTTGTTTTTTGACAAATGCTATTTTGATGTAGTGGGCAAGGCACCCTATCTCTTTGTGACATAATCTCCTTAGTAAAAGCCTTAGTAAATTTCAGTCCGGAGTTTTCATCTAAGTAATGTGGTGTTAATTCACAAGATCGACTTTCAATCAAGCTTACTGTTGCTCAAAAAGCTGCGTTCTTGATGACTTGCTGCCATGTCGTTGACATGATGCTCATTAAAAATGGTTATTGCTTCAACAGACAGGGTCTTCTTCAGAGTTTGAAGTGAGTCATATTAGTAGGTGCTGGAAGTAGCAGAGTGATTGAAAAGCATTCCTGTATTTTAAAAATTTATAAAATTTTGTCTTAACTATGAATTTTGCAAGAAATGGATATGAAATGAAGTGTATAACACGGATTTTTATTTGAAAGTCGACGTGCAGCACGCCATTCGCCGCTAGCCTGTCAAGGCGACCAAGAAACGCATCAACTGATTTCTCCGGGAACTCTTGTGGGATGGATGATATAATTTTTCGCATTTGCCCTTCATTTCTATTCGAAATCATTGGTTTGAAAGAGTATACTTGCTCCTTAAACCAACCCTAGAAAAAATAGTGGGGAGTTAGGTCAGGGCTTCTCAGTTGTCGCTAATGCGGAGTACGACGACCCACCAATCTCCCAGAGAAGTGAGCATTCAGCCATTTACTAAAATCAGTAGCAAAATATGGAGAAGTGTCCCATCCAGCATGAAATTTAAATCTTCGATCTTCTTATAAGGACTGATAACTGACCTTTCATCATTCATGGTATTGCAAAGGATGACCGACAGATTTTGCACATTTTCAGAGATAATATGAAGATCCTCTCACGCACAGTAGTGATAGTTGTGATGGGTAAAAGATGCTGATGTGGAACATCGCTTCATAGCTCCAGAAGGTCTTTTTAAAAAGAAAAAGAAAGAAAAGAAAAACAAAGTCATCGTTCTGAAGAAAACAACAATATGGAATCACAGCCACAAGTGTGCTGAGATTTGAGCACAACTTGGAACTTCAAATGCACTTCGAATCTGCGATTATCCTTTTCTTGTGCTCACTCTTACACACTGGACCAACCGAGGCTCCTACTTTGCCTTTCAGTCAATTTTTACTCTACCGATGCTATCAGCAACTACTGTCAATTAATAAAGATTTAGTTCACAGGATCGACTTTCTATTAACCTAGGCATAGGAATATGAATGCGTCGTTTTCTTGTACACCAATCGCGAGGTTGTTATACAGCATGCATTTGCTTCCAAAGAAAAAACATAATACAATACAGCAGCAGCTGACGTTCCAGCAGTATCGCCTTCCTCAGAGCATGGAAGGGTATGCTGATATACAATTTATTAGACGAAACGCTTCAATAACTCTTACAAAAAGACAAAAAGCTCTTTGGTAACTACACGAACAACAACTTCTCGAAAAAACCCACCGCTTTTTCGTGACTTCCAATGAGGAAGGTTAGAACAGCTGATTATAGTCACATATGGTTGATGACTGCACACCATCCCACATCAGAAATTGATCCGAAGGTACGGGGCCAGGTCACGTGTGACCTCTGGGCATTCCTCCCGGCTATTCATTGTGGGGTTTTTAGCATTTATCCAGTTTTACTGACTTTAACTTCAAAATCGTCGCCGCTATGCTTTTGTATCCAATGCGTGCCTAGTGGGGCTAGACCTAGACTTTGTCTTAGTTTTCGTTTGCCATCTAGGTGTTCCTTTATACGGTTACACAAAGGTCTGCCCGTTTCGCCAATATATTCATCTCCGCAATTACTACAAGAGATCAGATGTATCGTACTTCAACTGATGCAATCACCGTCTCTGCCGTAAGGGCAAATTACGCAATTTGTTATTTCACATAGACGGTCATACAAACGGTTACGAATTAACTGACGACGTAGAAGATCCGGTGGCATTTTAACTATCGCTGCCGATTCCTCTAGACCTGCCCTTCTTAAATATCGTTTTATAGCTATGCTTACTTCATCACTAATAAAAGGCAACATAAACGAGACTTTCTTTTGCCAAGTGTTTCGTTTCGGCCCGTCGCTCTCTTTATAAACTTATCTCATGGGGTTACTATTTCGTAGCCATTGGAGATGGCTATTTGCCGAGTCAAGTCCCGCGATTCTTCATTTAGTTCGCTTCTTGTGCACACATAAGTGGCTGCTCGAAACATGTTTCCTATAAGCGTCCTCACTGTGTGTGAAAGGTGGGAAGAGAGGAAATGAACCAGGATGTTTTTGTCATTTGGCTTTCGGTACAACTTTGTCATGTAACCGCTACTTGATAAGTTATAATAAAGATTTAGTTCTCATACATTGTGGAAAATGCACAGAAAGCGTAGGAGAAATGTCGTAATGTATAGATGAATTATGAACACTTTAAAATAGAGCGTCACTTTACAATCATCCAGTAGAACACAAATCCATGGCAGTAATATATCCTTCCTGCGTTTAGGATTACCTGTGGAAATCCATGAAATAAAAAGTTCTAAGATCAAGTTTCTCATAAGAGCACTAAGTACGTTGCCTCAGAATGATTTTTGTATATGGGTGGTCATTACACGCAATTCAATCAGAATCTATGAGAGTGGTCTTACTTGAAAGAACAGAATAGCAGAAAAACCTTGAGCTATTACTAAAGTGTTCTGTGCTTGGTCGAAATTTAGGTTCTGCTTTCCCTGTTAAGATCGCGAAAATGTTTCTTATAATTTGGCTGCCTACTTACATATTTGATTCAGGCTCTCAACAACTCGAGGACTAAATATTAGCCAATATAATA